TTCCTCGAAACCCAACTTTTCTTTGCAGTCAGAATACGCAATAATGACCATAAATGAGGGTAATTACAAAGGACATGTAGTCTCTTTGACCACAGAACCGTTGCGCGATTGACGTACATGCCTTTTTTTGTTTTTCCCAAATCCCGTGTAGGTTCACGAGTTATGCGACAACTTCTGTGCTCGCTACATAACCTGCTTAAAGGGCAAGATGCCCGTGGACCTGGTCGTGGAGGATCGCGAATCCTCAGGCTCCGCCGGCTCTGCGAACGGCTCTCCTCCGCCTCCGGGTTGTGCGCTATTCTCCGCAGGCAGCGGAGCCAGCGGGTACCTGACCGTTGACCCGGTGAATGGTCAATTGTTGGCCACGGCAACCAGCGTTTCTCCGTCCCGACCGATGACGTCAGCTGTCGCCTCGGACCAACACGACCCAGCAGACTTCTGCTCTGGCCACAACTATCCGAATGGCTCGGTTACCATGGCCACTCCAAGTGTCGCCAAGCCGGCGACACCCGCAACTCTGTCTCCGGCCTTAGTTGCCATCGCGACAAACAGCATCAGTGATCCGACACCCTCCGATTCACCAGACATACACTCTCATGACGCGATGGGCACCAGCGCACAATCTATGTTCGTTGCCTCGACGACAGTCCTTTCACCGGACAAGCCGGCCACCTCAAGCCGTCCTGTTGGCATGGTTTCGTCCGACGTGATTACATCCCCGACCAACCAATCCGGCAACTCGTGCATTCCAGACTCCTCCTCCGTGTCGACCTCGTCGACTTCTTCCACCATTTCTTCATCCTCGTTTGCGTCAACCGCTTCGCCCGGACACGAGATGACACAAACAGAGGCCTCAACTTGCCCCAACCCCCTCGGCCGGCCTCGAATGCCATTGCAGCTGGCCCGACTGACAAACAGTCCCATCGCAGAAGACACCAGAACCTCCATCCTTCCCTCGGCTTCGCTGAGTACAGCCTACGCTTCAAGGAGGCAGGCGTCTGCTTTGGGCCTGTCGGCAACTGATCGTCTTCACTGCCGCCCTCTGTTGCCCTCGGAGACGCCGGCAGAGTCGGTCAGAGGCATCTCTTCATCTGCGACCAAGTCGTGTTCGTTCAGCTTTTCGTCCGTACCTTCTTCCACCACTTCGCCACTCTCCTCTGCAGCCTCGATAACAGCCACTTCTCCGTCGATTGTCGCATCTGCCGCCGCCTCCTTGACACGAATTGGCCTCGGGCCTAGTCCACAGGTCGAGGCTGGCATTGGAGGAAGTGGAGACAGCAATATTTGTACAGAACTCGGCTGCTATGCCAACACTGGCAGAACTGCTAGAAGTGGCAATAGAGACGGAGTGCAAGTTGGTGACTGCCGCAGCAACCCCAGCTACGATGTACATGGATCGGTAAGTTGATGAGGCTCATCGCCTCGCCATCCTCCTTCTAAACACTCTTTCTCTCTCTCTATCACACACACACACGCACGCAAATATAAACCACAATAAGAAGAGGACAGAATGGCAAACGCAAAGCACAGGCAACAATGACAGGCATGACGAGTTGTAAATTAGAATAATTGCATTCGTTCGTGGATGTGAAAGTCAAAATAGTGTGGCCTTTTGTGGGGTTGTGTGGTTCTCGCAACTTTGTCGGAGCGACAAGGAGACCTTGTGGAACGTGCATGGTCCTGAATCCTTTATCAGAGCATTAATGGTAATTTTAAGCATCAAACCGTCGACTCGGTACATTCCCTGACATTTCGCCAGCATCTTCAGTTAAGCCTCATTGTTAAGAGAGAGTTACAACTTGTCAAAGTGACAAATGAAGGCCGATTTTTTAAAAAATCGCAATGGTATCACTTCTCGCTCCTATTTTTACGTCCTAACTTCTGGTGCTGCACTTGCTCATGGCACAACGCCTCAATGGCTGATAGTCTTGGCCCCCCGAAGCGAAGGAGGATGTGTCATAAACCACGTCATCCTGAACGTCGTGTTGAAGCTAAATGGTGGTAGCACATACATGCATTTTCATACGAGATGAAAGTCTCCCCATCAAAAATGACCAAGAATTTTCCCACAATGATATGAGTTGAGCTGACGTTTCCATTGAATTTCACATTGCCTTGCTTTCCCA